GGAATTTGTGGAGGTCAAAAGAAATTAAAATAAATACTAAACTAAAAATTTTTAATTCTAATGTCAAATCAGTACTATTGTATGGGGCGGAAACATGGAGAACAACGAAGGCAATTACTAATAAATTGCAGACATTCATTAACTGGTGCCTGCGCAGAATAGAGGGAATAAAATGGTATGATAGAATAACTAATGTAGAACTTTGGGAGAGAACTAAACAGGCTCCAGTGGATCAGGAGGTGAGGAAAAGACGCTAGCGTTGGATAGGGCACACACTGAGAAAACAGGAGAACAGCATAACTAGAATGTCTTTGCATTGGAACCCACAGGGGCATAGGAATAAAGGAAGGTCAAAAAACACATGGAGAAGAGAGCTGGAGAATGAGGTTAGAAAGATTGGGAGGACATGGAGAGAGCTCCATGTAATGGCGCAGGATAGAACGACTTGGCGTGAGTTGGTTGAGGGCCTATGCTCCATTGGGGGATAGAAAGGCAGAAGAAGAAGAAGAAACATCCAACTGGAAAAAGTCACAAATTACATAGCAATTGATATAACTTACCCTATAGAAGCATGTCCTCATCTTTACTGAAGTCTGCCTCACAAGATTCACAGGATAAACTTAAGCTTGGATGATGAATTTGAAGCTTCAAATCCAAAATGACTCTGGTATGCTTTAGCTGTTCCAATTTTTTTTAATACCTAATCAGGGAGCTGATAAGTGGAACAGCCTTTTTCCTACTCTTATCAGGCCGAATTTATTGTCATGACAACATTTAAGAGGTCAAATTCCATCCTGTTTCTTAGGTTAGATTTGATAACTTCACTTCAATTGAAAAACATTTAGACAAACATCTACCATTTAAACGTCAGAAACGTCATCTAAATGCAAGGGAAAACATCTAAATCTGGATGTAAAACATCCAAAGTAGCAATACTGGTTGAATCAAAAAGAGGTTTGTTTGTTTGTTTGTTTTAGTACCCCGAAGCCATGAGTTGTTAACCCTTTGGCTCGGTATTATGGATATCGCAACCTTTCGGCCTTAATTCCATTGTAAATACCGTAAATCTGGGAGAAAATGTGGCTTTTCTGCCCACCCCAGGGAGTGAACCCGGGCCACAAGGAGTTAGTCACCCACTCACCGCGCAATCCGGCTTAGCCAACTACGCTAGAGAGCCGGGCAAAAAGAGGTTTCAACTGCACAATCCGCTGAGTCATTATTTATAGAGGTATTCTAAGGCTGACAGACGCATCAGATAACTCAGCACACATGCGATGCCAATGTGCAGAGACGTTGATTGTGATAACATAACATAGCACACAGAGTATGAGATTCAAGCACTTATTAGGATGATTTTCCCTGAGTGGGTTCCGGGGAAAAATAAATAGACTCATTGCCTTCCTAGCAAGCATGTCGTAAGAGTCGACTTCCTTCCTTGCTGGACGGCAAGGAACAACAAATTGCACACAAATAAGCCAACAAAACGGATGTACTCGCTAAACTCAGGTCTTGACACAAGGCCAAAGTCCAAATGGACGAACAGCCAGGACTTTCTGCCAGAGAATACAGCCAGTGAACAAAGAATAAGAATAAGAAGAGAATAATGTATTGACTCAATAATGACAGTGTTACATCATAAGAAATTCATAATAAAATATTGTGCAAAGGACTATATGCCCTTTCTTATAAGTCTTATGTAAGGTTAGCTTCTTTCGCCCTTTAACTAGCGAATGAACAGTTCATGTTTCTATGTACCGTGTGTGATCTTTCTTGCACATCCGCATTCATTAACTTATTGAGAACATAAGGGGTTTCGCTTGGCCCAGCTACTTCCCCTCCTCGAGAAAATTGCACATTTGTGAGTGCTTCCTTCAAAGTTGTTGACGAATAATTTCTGCAATGGTTACAACTTTTCATTTGCAGGACTTTTGGCGTAAAATACTTGATATTTCGTTAATACACTGCAGGTAGGCATCTATCAATTTTGAAATCTCGTGTCATATATAAATAATTCAATCCGAAATACGTACGCTCATCATTGAAGATTAAATGCATCGTTGTTTAATATGTCAACTTGAAAATTAAGCTTACTACTTTGGCAGAACTACGTGTCTTTAAATTGTTGCGTTATTTCCCTTAGAAGTAACAATTTGCACACAGTTTCCCATGTTGGACGTAATGTTTTGTTGTTGTTTTAAAACCCCACAACAGCCGTTTTCGGAAACCCAAATATAACCTAACTTGTGGGTTGATCAGGGTTTCTGGGACCTATCCCCGGGTGATCCTCACCACCTGGTGGCACTTTGTGTCACCGGGTGTTTGTCGCTCAGTGTGATGTCCTGGTGCGGTTGAACGTCATCATCATCTCAGTGGGGAAATGTGGGTGAGCACGCGTGTGTGCATATATACATGTGTGTATATATGTGTAAATTTTTGTGTATGCAAACACGTAAACGTGCATTCCCAGCTGGTTGTTCAGATGTGCATGTTTTGTTTTATATGTCTATATATGTGTGTAGGTGTATAGTGCATACCAGACCCCTCCCCAACAACCCTCAATAGTACTAGAGTACCAGTCTTAGTCATTTGTTTTGGTACAATTATCATTTCTTAGCCAACATAATTGGAACAAAGAAATCAGACCACAGTTATAGCCGATATTGCCCACAGTAGGTTGAACGTGGTCGATCGCATGCAGAAATGGAGGATCAGGGGTGTACATTGAACCTCCAAATAACACAAGAAATACCAAAAAACTTACAGGAAAGCACTTTCACAACTAAGATGCAGAAATTCAAGCCGTAAAAACATTAACAGAAAAGCTGCTAAATCTGTGTCATATTTCACAACACAATGTATTCCCGACAGATGCATGAGCGGTACTTTAGGCACTCGAATCTGAAAATTTAGCTGGTATAAGAAAACTACTCTCCTAACTAAGTAACCGGTGTACGGCAACTATGCAATGGATACTATCCCATTGTGGAGTTCCTGGAAATGAAAAAGCGCATAATCTAGCTAAAGAAAGATGCAAATGAAGAACAATCTGGCTCACCAGTTTCTTATCAACAGAAGAAGAGAATAATCAAATCAATCAGAAAGTCACTAAAACCGGCCAAATACGATTACCATATAATAGACAGACCAGAGCAAGTCATTATTCTACGCCTTAAAACAGGGCACAGTCGACTTAACAGCCATATGTCCACACAGTTTAAGATATGCGAATCAGCCATGTGTACATGTGGATTAGTATCTGAGACAACAGATCACGTCCTTCAAGACTGTCCCGGATGCAAAATATCATATTTTTCGCTTACGCACTGGACACTGCAGACTCAATAAACACTCACATAAATTAGGTATGAGCCAAACAGCTCTCTGCCAGTGCCTTCGTGCTGAACAGACTCCAGAACATGTCCTGCAAGACTGTCCTCTCCTGGCGGAGCTGCGGAGCGACATATGGCAACACCCAGTAGAACTGACAACTAAGCTTTGGGGAAACCTAAGAGACCTTGAAAAGACATCCCAGTTTATGACCCACAGTGGACTATGCGCATGACCAGAGATCGCTGCAGAAGAAGACCTGTGAGACCTGGACACTTACTAAACAAGCTGAACGGCCTATAAATGCATTTAGAAACAAATGTTATAGACGGGTCTTAAGAATATAATGGGTATCATGAACAAATGCATTCATACTTCAAGAACTGAATATTGAAGAAGGTTGGCTTTTAAAGACGATTAAAAAAAAAAAATTGAAATATTTTTGTCACTTGAAACGTCATGAAAGTTTAGAGGGAAGACAATAATGGATGGGTATATGCCCGGGAAGGCCAAAGAGAAGATGGGTGCAGGATGTGGCGGAAGATCTCCAGATGGGTGTATCAGATGCGCGACATCTTGCTTACCTGGACGGTCGGCTTCTCAATACCACTGTTGATACCAACGCAAGGTGCAAGACCCGCAGTTGGGATCGAACTAGGCATCCCGGCATTACGAAGCGCGTTCGCAACGCCTAAGCGACAGACGCCGACCGTGGATAGATCATCATCATCAGGTGCCTTGCCGACTGGCGTGGGCGATAATGCCTCTCCACAATCTGCGATCTCCTGCAGCATGTATCAGTTCGTGTGCTGACACACCTCCATGCCATGCAACAAGACTGTCAAGCATCTTCTCTCGTTGTCTTCCTTTATCCCTCCTTCCACAGATCTTTCCAGTGGTCACAACGTGTTCTATTTTCCCTCTTCTCATAACATGGCCGAAAAATGATGACTCTCCTTCTGATGTCTGTGATAAGTTGTCTTTGGGTTCGTAGATAGATATATTATTATAATCCTTAGGGTTTGACAGAATATTATTTGTGAAACTTACTACTACAGATATAGGATAGATAGTTAGTTAGGTAGATAGATAGATAGAGAGATAGATAGATAGATAGATAGATAGATAGATAGATAGATAGATAGATAGATAGATAGATAGATAGATAGATAGATAGATAGATAGATAGATAGATAGATAGATAGATAGATAGATAGAAAAAAGGGGAAAAAGGGGGGGGGGGTGGCAGGGAGGGTGAGAGGTTTAATATAGTTTTCTCGTTTTCCTATCAACAGACACGATGATGTAATAGCCGTACAACTTCACGCGGGGTCTTCATTATATCGTTTTAGCACTTTAATCCCAACAATCAGGAAACCAACTATTATATAAGATAATATTATTTATTTCACAGTATTAACTTGAAAATAAAATATAGCTTGATGGTTTTTAGCTTAAATATTATTATAATAAAAAGTAAATTTGCAGGAATATTGTCAACAATGAGGCCTCTAACAGGAAGCAATGTGTGGACATGCGCGATCTTTCAGTGTGGGACACCGGGTGATTGCAGCAGACAGGTTTGAGTTATCTACGACGATCAATCGGACCAGTTGGCGAGAAAACTTTGTCGGTTACACATCATCACTTCGATTTCTAGTTGAAAAAAAAAAATGGTTCTCGATCTAGATCTATTCAGAGCTGATAAGGGTGGAAACCCTGCTAAGATCAGAGAGAATCAGGCGAAGCGGTTTAAAGATGTGACGCTGGTCGACAAAGTTGTGGAGAACGACACGGCCTGGAGAAAACGTGAGGAAGTTGGATAGATTTTTAACACCCTTTCACTTTTCTGTTTATTATCATTTTGTCATTAGCTTTGCTGTTTGCTTTAGATTTTAGAAGTTTATTGTCGGTACTTGTATTTTGGTGGGTCTCATTACGGTCGTAACCTAATAATAAAATGGATTGATAATTAATTCCTTTTACTTTTTACCGTAGGCTTTCTTTAACTTTAAATCTAAATCCTTTTTTTTTAACACTTACGATAAAGTCTTAATATTCTTTAATCCTTTCACTTTTCAGTGTAATTATTTGTAATGTTCTGTCAAGCCTTAAGCGTTTGTTAGTTTTAGTTTTAGAAGGTAAGTGTTGGTAGTTATATATATTTAGGTGTATCATTGCCATAATGATTATGATAATCCTAATATAAAAGTTATAAATATAAATTAATTATTAGTCTTTCTTAGTTAAAATAATGTTAATTATAGAAGAATTAATAAAATTCATAAATGATAATTAATTTGCTTTTTAATTTTTCATCACACTTCAATGATAGCATAATGTTCTGTTTAGCGTTAGTTTTAGAAGTTCATTGCTAGTATAGTACTTGTATTTTTTTTTTGGCCTCATTATCATGACTCTAGTAAATGTAACATTGTTTTTACTTTTTTATATAAATGTACTCCTAAATTATAAGCAGAGATTAGTAATTAGTAATAAAAGGATTACATTTATGCAACTATCATAATTACTATGTATACATTTGTGTTAATGCCAGTTCTAACATAGGTAATAGGTATATACCATAAATAATTTTGCCGCGGACTTTCTGTCAAGGAACAAATTGCGGCAAAACTAGGATAACTTGACAATTTCAAGAAAGGCAACACTGCAGACAATAGTACCAGACGATAATAGCGACTGCTGACAATTTCAAGCATTTCTGCAGACGATACTAGTGACCATTGACAATTTCGAGACACGCAACATTACAGACGATAATAGCCACATGGCGGGGAGACCACGCGCATGGCACAGATTAGCGTCTTTGTTGTCCTCACACTTTTCGGCATGCGCAAAACGCGGTTAAACTCACCGCCAACATTATCCTTCGTCTACTTTCTGGACATAGAACACCTCTAAGAACTAGTTTTTGCCAACCTTGTGCTGCCAATGGGAAACACAGATCCTTACTTATTACTACACATTTTGAGCACAACATCATAACAGAGATGAGGTGTCTTAGAACAGCTGCTGGAGACATGAGAAGAGATAGAGTTAAAAATAAAATGAAGAAATCAGAAGCTTGAGGCAGAGACCAGTCATACAGTTAAAGAACAACAGATATGATAATTTGAGTCCTTATGTGAGTTCCAGAGCTCCATTGTAGGTAAAACAAGAAAAAAAAACCACTGCCTCCCCAACAATCATGTCGTAAGAGTCGGCTAATTGGGGCCTTCCTTTGAAGTCGGAGTGCATCTGCACAAACAATAAGAAACAACCAACTGCACACAAATAAGCCAGTAAAATTTATGTGCTCGCAAAACTGAGGTCCTCTCACAAAGCCAAAGTCTAAATGGATGAACAGCCCTTAGTTTTCACTGGAGCCTACAGCCGGTGAGCAGAGGAAAAAAAAGATAAGATTGGCCATCTTATTGCTGTGGTACCACAGAGAGCCTTGCTGAAAAAAATATAATGAACACAGAGCAAGGAGGAGATCACACAAAATATGGAACAGTTGTATTAATTACATTCTTAAGGAATGAAAATCAACTTATTCAGTACTTTAGAAAAGAGCCCACAGAAAATCCTTACATCTCTCCCCAACACTTCGATTAGGCAACATGAGGAAGGGAAGATATAAAAGTAACCTGATTATACCAATGCATTTAATGACAAGGTTTTTGTATCATGTCTTCAGTTCGCTTCAGGGCTGATCTGCTGAACAAGCTGAAGAATGTGTGCAGCAAGGAAATTGGTGAAAAAATGAAAGTGAGTATGCATATATTGATTGATCTTTTGGAGAGAAAAAAAAATTGACAACAGATGTGTTTAGAGACCTAGTTATTTATGGTCGCATTAAAAGGAATGTTAATTGTAACAAATTGTTATATGTTTGTTTAAAAAGTGAACAGCTTGACAGAGCTGTCTAAACTTGTTATATTGGCGACCCACTGACCCAATTTTTAGACAAACATAATTTTGTGACGGTAAAGAAACCTGAGAACAATATCTATAACTAGAATATCTTTGCACTGGAACCCATAGGGGCATAGAAATAAAGACCAAAAAACACATGAAATAAGGTGGAGAGTGGTGTAAAAGATGGGCAGAGCCGCATGCGGTAGGGAAGGATAGAACAACTTGTCATGAGTTAGTTAAATGCCTCTGCTGCATAGGGGGATAGAAGGCAGAAGAAGAATAATTCAGTCTGCTAGCAGTTTAGAGGTTAAAACTAACCCTTTGTAAAAGAAATGGACACATACATACATTTTGGCAACAGACAACAAAAATGTGTCAGATACTTGCTTGCTTTTTAATTATTAAAGCCAGCAGCTAACTAAAAAATAAAAATTGATAGTTTTAATGGGGCATGAAATTGCCAGTTGTTCTGTTTAACCTTTATATTCATGCGACACACCTTCACAGTGCAGCCAACACACTAATGTATCACAACACAGTTTGAAAAGCTGTGAGCTAGAACATATGATAACATAACATAGTTAGTTGATCTTTTATCCTGACAGGTAGAGATTTGCTAAAGAAATCGCCAGGCTTCTCCGCCAACCATTTTCTTGTTGGCTTTGTTTCATTCTAGTTCTCTGGTCAGGGACCGTTGGATGTTGTCTTCCCAGCAAACCCTTGGTCATCCTGGAGGTCTGGCTCCCAGCCTCCCATGACTAGAGTGCTGGCCGATTGTCTCCCATTCTGTACACATGTCCAAACCATCGTAACTGTGACTAATCCACTCAAGTTTGTAAGGTCTGGTTCCCTGGTTCTTAGCCTCCCATGCCTGGAGTGCTGGCCGATTGTCTCCCATTCTGTACACATGTCCGAACCATCGTAACTGTGACTAATCCACTCAAGTTTGTAAGGTCTGGGTTTCAAGATTATGACGATTTTGTTTGGTTTGTGAACTTTGTCCCTTCTTGTCACTTGGACCACCTTTCTCAGATACCTCATTTCTGAGGCATGAAGCTAGCTGCCGTGAGCTGTCATTGCTCAATCCTCACAGAATATGACAGTTGCTAATATGAATAGAAAGAAAAGAGAGTTGGGAGTCCCAATATGATGCAGACTAGCATTATAGCTTGAACATATATAACAAAGTTGGGCACTCTTCCGAATACCGGTCCCAAATTATTGACTGTCCAAAACATCCCTTTTAGAGCCTCAAGGGGTTCAAAGGGCTATAAAGGGGTCAAGGGGTTATAAAGAAATAGCCATCTACCTCTCACCCACCTTCAACTTTTCCCTTCAGTGGGATTTTAATAAGCTTTATATCTTATAACAGTTTAGTCTCTCCAAAACCTAATTTACTGTATTTTCCCAAGTATAAAACACACTTATTTTCCAAAAATATAGGTGTCTAAAAACAGCATCTTATACAGTGGTAGTAGATTTGTTATCAAATGATTTGTTATAAAATATCACGTACAGGCCCTCATTTGGAATGCTGGTTCGGGGGTGACATAAAGTGTCTTAAGAGATGAATGTAACCAGTGGATGAAGTCTTCTGGGGTCAGTTTGACACCAGCAGGCATTGTAAAGAAACTGACTAGGAGAAGTTTGTACCTGGGTGAAGGGTCCTGGGGTAATGTGAAGATTGAGGTCGTTGTTAGGTTGTTAGAGGTGTGGCATTTCAGATGTACAGAGGAGGCCGTATATGAAGTCTGGGATTCATCATAGACACAGTTAAGGACAAGCCAAATCATATGGATGAGAGTTTTGACAGTGATAGGTTTTCTGGATTCTATGATGAATAAAATGTGAGAACAATAACTTTATTTTATCATATTTTTTTTCTTTAGTATTTCCTGTCTCAAAATCATGGTCTATCTTATTCATAGGCTTGTCTTATAGTTGGGTGAATGTTTTGTTTTCATGAATTTACTGTAAATCTTTCCATGGCTGCTGGATAATATTTTACGGGCTTGTTTGTTTGTTGCCCAGGTTTCTGTGTAGTATATATAGCTATTTTTTTCCCCCAGTATTTAAACATGTGCACTCCCACCTGTACTCACACATTTATATTACCTGACTGCACGGCGACCGGGTTGCGAACTACTTGTGGTCCGGGTTCACACCGGGAGCAGGCCGAAAAGCCACATTTGCGGTATCTGCATGGAATCAAAGCTGAAGGGTTGCAATACCCATGGTACCGAGCCCAGATGGTTTCTATTTGTTTAAAAAAAATTTAATTAGTATTCATAAATGTAAATGACACATACTTGAACTCACGCAATATTTATTCTTGTGTTCAGAAAAAAGTCGCAGTAGGTGATGATGAGAAGGTGCCTTCAGAAATTTTGGATAATATCGACGACCTTACGCAGGAAAAATTGACTGTGAGTATTATGAGTAGAATTATTGTATGATTGATTCTTGATTAAATTTATATTTTATTTTTTCATTCTTATCTAACCTGGCTTCACTTTTGTCATTAGGGCATTTGTATTGCTGTACATTTGTGGGTTGAGAGAGTGTTGTTGTTCCTAAACTAAAGGACAAAAGCCCCTCAGCAATCGGCAGATCCTTTTACAGAACATCGCTCTCGTCACATGACACCTCAAAGTTTCTCTGTCCACAGCTGGTTCTCCAGCCTGGTGTAGAATAAAGACTGTTATATGGGTCACAGCAGTGGTCTCAAACCTTTTTCAGCCCCTCCCCCCATCTGCTATTTTTGGTTTGATGTGGGACAGGGCACAAGATCACTAATCACATCTGTCTGGCAGTACTGTTTTATTTTCATGACCTTAAGCTAAAGATTTGGATTACCACTAATACACATGCACTCAGTTTTAAAATTGCTTGGCACCCCACTTGAAACTTCCACGCGCACGCACACAGACACCCCCCCTTTTCTCCCTCCAAGTTGGAGACCACTGAGTTACAGGTTTCATCCTACAATTAATGGGGGGGGGGGGGGGGCGCAACTCCCTCTTACTTTGTATGTTATAATAGTAGGCATTTTCTTAAATAGGATGTATTATGCTAGAAAGGTGCATATATCATAGCCTGGTTGTAAATCACAATACAGTGAGCCCCCCCTCCCCACCCCCACCATTCAAGGGGGACCTCTGAAGAAAATAGTCTATGCCAAGTTGTGTTGGTGATCTGGTCTGTTCACAGCCTTCTGTCTCGTGTACTGCTAATGATTTCTTGTAGAAAACTTTTTGGGAGCTGCTGCGGTACAGCGGCTAGACACTCCCCTATGGATCCGAAGGTCACCCTAGGTTGCTTAAAATAAACCTTAAATGTACAGAGGATCAAACATTATAACCAATGACATGTGAGGTGGACATTGACCCCTCGGTCACCTACTCCTTTCCTTTCATTGTAACCCCCAAAAAACTATACAGTTATTGACATCATCACAATGTCTTCTTCCTTAGCCTTCACTGACTATAAACTCTGGCAGAAACTTCTGGTTATTCATACACTTCTGGACTAGAATTTTGCTTACCCATCAGATCAGTTTATTTGTTTGCAGACAGTTAGTTCCTCCCAGGCAGATATGCTGTGATTTTGGTGGGGAAAATCCCTAATTAGTTGCCTTTCATGATATGCTCAGTAGTGGGGCAGTGGATTTATTCTTTGTTTCCTGCAGAATAGGGCCCTGGAACCGACACGGAAACATCACAGAGTTATAAAACTGATTTCACTTTTGAAGCCTTAGATGTTAATTGTTTTTTTTATTAAATGATCGCCATTATCATGTAGCAGGTTCTTAGCAGAACACAGCAGAACGTCTCTTATCACACCAGGTTGGAAAGCTATCTGATGCCCAGAAAACTTTCCCCATCTCATGAAATTTCGCACAGAGAGTGATATTATTCTGTGATTGTGAAATTATCATCATAAATTTCCTGCAGATAAGCGTAGGCATCTCGTAGTCATAAGTCTGATCATCTGCGCCTGATTTCTCTAATCAGTCATAAGTCTGATCATCATTGCTTAATTATCTAATCAGTTGTTAGTCTGATCATCTATGCCTAATTTCTTAAATCAGTCTTTAGTCTGATCACCTGTGCCTAATTTCTCTAATCAGTCGTTAGTCTGATCGTCTGTGCCTAATTTCTTAAATCAGTCTTTAGTCTGATCACCTGTGCCTAATTTCTCTAATCAGTCGTTAGTCTGATCGTCTGTGCCTAATTTCTCTAATCAGTCATTCTGATCGTCTGTACCTAGTTTCTCTAATCCGTCGTTAGTCTGATCGTCTGTGCCTAATTTCTCTAATCAGTCGTTAGTCTGATCGTCTGCCTAATTTCTCTAATTAGTTGTTAGTCTGATCGTCTGTGCCTAGTTTCTCTAATCAGTCATTCTGATCGTCTGTACCTAGTTTCTCTAATCAGTCGTTAGTCTGATCGTCTGTGCCCCAATTTCTCTAATCAGTCGTTAGTCTGATCGTCTGTGCCTAATTTCTCTAATCAGTCGTTAGTCTGATCGTCTGTGCCTAATCTCTCTAATTAGTCGTTAGTCTGATCGTCTGTGGCTAATTTCTCTAATCAGTTGTTAGTCTGATCGTCTGTGGCTAATTTCTCTAATCAGTCGTTAGTCTAATCGTCTGTGCCTAATTTCTCACATCAGTCGTTAGTCTGATCATCACAGTCGTTCGTCTGATCGTCTGTGCCTAATTTCTCTAATCAGTCATAAGTTGTGTTGAATTTTCTGTATGCCAGGATTTAACAGTGACACAGATCAAGCGTGTACGTCAAGAGATAGATGACCTTATGAAGAGCAACAATGATAAACTCTTAGAACATGAGAGAGAGAGGAATGAAGCTCTGAAGGAGATTGGAAACCTGCTGCATGAGTCATGCATAGTGAGCAACAATGAGGTAAAATACACATACATTGCATGTTTTCTTTTGAAATCTAGATGGCACCTTTCCTTCTTTCCGTGTTGTTTTCGTTCACTACTGGCTTGAGAATCAGCTGTTCACACATGTCCTAATTGTAATTGTCTCACAGAGTATGTTGAGAAAGGAGACAGGCAGGCTTTGTGCAGAGTGGCATCACCTCAGAGGTACCAGTTAGTTTAACATCCTTTGAATATTTTTTCAGTAGGATGCTGGTGTGTTGGGAAATGAGCAGGCAGATAGAATGGCGGGTTCTGCACCACTTGGTAATGAACTGATGTATGACAGGCTGGATGTTGTGAAGGGCCCTTAAGAAGCGAGCGAACGATGGAGGCACAGGTAGGTCGTGGATGTCTGAGGAGAAAGGCGCTGCAAGGAGATACCAGGTGAGCTGACCGACGCTCAGCGCTCAAGGGAAAAGCAAGACGAATACAGTCAGACAGCCACTGGTGTATTCTCAGAATTGGACTCTTCGCTTGCTGCTGAAGAGGAGGATGCAGCGCTTATGGGAGTGTCCCGAGTGCACTAATGACAATTCTTAATTCAACATTCAGTGTTATGTTGTGATATAGGGAGGCATGGAAATTACAGCCTATTTTGATGGGTAGTGTTATTAGCAAGACTGACTAACAGTAACACATAGCTTTGCAGAGAGATATGGGTGAAACAAAGAGACAAGTAACAAATTTAAGTCTCATTTAAATCATAAACACTCCTATATAACCATATTGGAGGGAGAAAATTAAAGGTAACCAAGCAAGAGGAAGACAGTGATACAAGTCACACATTAAGAGATGGACAAAGAGTTGTCTGAAAGTGTGTACAGCCAGAACGAGGAACACACAACAGTGTTGGAGATTCATTGCCATCAGCTTTTGTCGTGGAGCCTGCATCTGATTTATTGATTATCGTTTTTGTTTAGTTTAATGGTTTAAACAACAGATCAACATCATGGCACAAAGGTAGTAACCCATAAGTGCTCCATTCTACTTCAAGCTCAAGCCTGAGTTCGAAGAATCTCAGCACAGTGCAAGAACTCTGTAGCACCAGTGAGGATCCTGAAATACTTTGGTTAGATTTTTAACTCCATATTTTGCCTGGGCAGCGCCGTAAGGCTATTTTTTTTTTCGATTTCAAACTGCCAAGGGATTTTTTAACTCACGGGCGTCCGTGAGACCAGAGACCAGATGAAGTTACTAGAAGTCCAAGTGAAAAATTCCCAGCCTTCATCTGAACCTGGGACCCCCGGCACACGAGGTGGACTCCATACCTCTAGACCACTCAGCCCCTCATCTGTTTTGTTTGTCTAGCTGAACTCTGTCTATCACAAACAACACACTATTCATGTGTACCAGTCAACATGTTAATATGTGTTTACTTATCTTTAGTGAGTGACTCAAGAACTCTGACAAAATATATGTTTCCTGCAGGGGTTTTATTTGGCGCCCTTGGAAGTAGTTTAGTATTGCCATTCATAACTCTCTTGGGCATTAATTAGAACCTTGTGGGTCTGAAAGAGTTAAGAGTCATTGTTTGCACTCCATAATGCAAGATCTTTTATGTGTGATATATCATTCTTGTCTTATTCTGGTACAAGATGTGTTGGGAAACATACATCAGACAGATTATTTGGTTCTGGTGGTAAATTGATGCATGACAAGGTAGATGTTATCAAGTTCCTTTGGGAGCGAGTGAGCTGTGTTTAAGCACAAACAGATTATCACAGTTCTCAGAAAATGGCAGGAGGCAGTGACCAGATGTGGCTGACAAGGCAACACTCAGAGGAAAGACAGACATCTAAGTCCATTGCATCTCCTCTTTTTCTTTGCATTCGGTTTTGTTTGCTCAGGTCAGATCGTCAAGTGGGCTGTCTCTGTGAATTCGCATGTCAATTGCAGGTCTTTCGTAGTTCCCTATACCCTGCTGTGCACACTTTGCTCTTAAGGCCAGGTTTCTCTTCACAGTTGTAAGTATAGTGGGTAGGCCTGCAAAATGTGCTCTGGTGTTTGTGGTCCTGTGTTATGTGCACACTGTAATAACCTCTGACTGACATATATAGTGGGAACTAACCAGGCAATCAGCAACTGGTCACCAAACTACACACTATTATGGGACAGTGATGGTGAATTACGGAGTAACTTGTTACTTGTTTAGTCGCCCTGCTTCAATAATGTTCATTGTTGCTCTTTTTTTTTTTAAACAGGCTCAAGCTGTGTTCTTTAGAAATAAAAGTTGACTCAGCTTAACTCTGTATTTCTCTTTGTTTTCTTCACGTTCGCCAGCTGAGACTCCGGCAGAAAGTCCTGGTTGTTCGTCCACTTCTGGACTTTAATCATGTTCCAGAACTTGAGTTTTATGCGCACAAACGTTTTACAGATCTGGCTTATTTGTATGCATGCTGTCGGTTCCTCGCCTTTTAGACAAATGCAATCTGATGGAATTGTGCCTTATAGGACAAGCTTATAAGGGTGCAGTGTGTTTATTCTTTTTTCTGCAAAATGAGATTCTAGAACCGACACAGGAACTTTCATTTCTAAAGTTTGTGATCATAGTTTGAGTCTGTTTTTACTTTACTATTGTTTTAACACATTTGAGCAAGAAAATGATAAAATTGTCTTGTTTTTCTTGTTCTTTCTCAGGATGAGAATGGGATAGAGAGGACATTTGGGGACACAGAGACAAGGAAGAAATACTCTCATGTGGATCTGGTGGTCATGATTGATGGAGCTGACAATGAAAAGGGAGCTGTCACTTCTGGAGGCAGGGGCTACTACCTTAAGGTAAATGATTTGTTTCATTTCTGTTCTGTTTATACTTTTAAAATTTTACTTTCATTTCTTAGTAATGTCAGCTACTGTCACACACTGTTTTTAAAAAAAAAACATTTTGTTTTAATTTTCATAACAAGTGGGTACACTGTTCTTTTAAAATTGTTGTAAAGCTGAAAATAGTTAGTTAGTCTTTCCTCTTGTGTCGAGGGCAGAGGTCATGACTCTCCATGCATGGCGGTTTGTTGCAATCTGTTGTAGGTCTTGGATGTTTGAGTGGCCCATGAGCGAGCCTTCCCTGATGATAGTTCTACGTAGGGTTTCCCTTGGTCTTGCACAAGATTTTTTCCCCTGAGGTGTTCAAATGAGGGCTTGGTAAGGAAGTCTTGATTTATCCATTCTAAGGGCGTGGCTGACATAGTTCCAGCGACAATTTCGTATAAAATTAGACACATACTCTTGCCTGGATTCTTTCGTTATTTGTGTATTGGTTCGGAAATCTAACCATTTGAAATTTAGTATCTTCTAAGGCATTTATTTTCAAAACTGTCTAATTTTGTGTCTAGAGTTTTCGTTGATTTCCAGCTCTCGCATCCATAGGTTAGTACTGGAATCACACAAGAATTGAAGATCTTGAGTTTTGTGTGTTTGCTAAGTCTTCCAGAATTTTGTCAACCCATGTAATGCTTAAATTTGCGTTATTTATGCACTTGCGCATGACCCAGTCGATTGCTATACCAAAAAGCATCTGCGATAGGACACAGACTTGCTTCACTCCTGTTTCCACCGGGAACCAGTCAGAATTGCCGGAATCAGTTCTTACACAGCATCATGTTTCATTATAAAAAGATTTTATGATGTTGATATATTTGATGGGGAAACCATAGATGTTTAGCAATTTCCAGAGTGTTGGACGATGGGTACTGTCGAAGAAGGCTTTTTTTGGAAGTCGACAAAGTTGATCAATAATTTCGACTGGAATTCTGTAGAATCTTCAACAATTATTCTAAGAGTATAGATGTGGTCTATGCATGACCGCTTGGATCTAAAACCAGCTTGTTCTTCCCTTAATCTTTCATTTTTTCACTTTCTAGTAGCATACTACAAAATAGTTTCCCTGGTATCGAAAGCAGGGTGATGCCTCTCCAGTTGTTACAATCCGATAAATCACCATTTTTAGGTAATTTGAAGATTACACCATCTTTCCATTGTTGTGGTGGGTATTCGTTTTGCCAGACTTCCTCCATCAGCTGGAGCAAATGTTGCAGGGTGTTTTCATCCGCTGCTTTGAGCATTTCCCCTGAGATGTTGTCCTCTCCGGTAGCTTTGTTTATTCTTAGTTTTAAGCTGAAAATAGCTTTGGAATATTTTTTAATACGATTAAAAGGGTGGGTATATGCATACTATTATTTTCTCTGTGCATTCTGGGGCCCCATTATGTGGAAAACAAGAATTGACACCTTGCCTTCCCAACAAGCATGTTGTAGGATCGTAGGAGTCGACTCATTAGGACCCCTTTCAGGGTCAGAGTGCATATGCCCAAACGTCAAGAAACAACCAGCTACACACAAATAAGCCAGTAAAATGGATGTACATGCAAACTCAGGTTCTGGCACAAAGCCAAAGTCCTAATGAACAGCCAGCACATTCTACCGGAGCTTACAGGCGGTGAACAAAGAAGAAGATTAAGAATACTAGTGATTAGAAAGGATTATCATCACAGCACTCCGGACAGATCCATAGGTGCTCTGATCCCCTCAAAAGCTCCACAAGTGTAAAACGACTGATGACACCTGTTCTGTGTTGGTTAATGAAATGTCTTGTCCCCTTAGTGAAATGTTCATTTCTTGCAGCTCCAGGCTGCTTCCCCATGTCCATCAGTCTAGACAGGGATACAGAGTCATGTCCTTTGGCGTGCTCCTCGGTACAGTAAGTGCAGCGCATGGCAATAACATCACTTCTGTCAAATACCGGGCCAGCCATAGCAACCGCAGTGTCAGCAAGATAATCTGCACACTCGTTCCCTTGAACACCTACATACCTGGCACAAAGATGGTTAGAGCAGATATTCGTGAAGTGCTTATTGTTGCAGTCCATTCTTTCCTGATAAAGCCAGCTTGGATTTTTTAAAACATAATTATCAAGTCACTAAGAATGCATACATGCGTATTAATTATTATTATTAAGTATATTGATAGTTTTAAGAATACTATTGTCTGGAAAGATGGAGACGTGCCAACAAAAGACATCTTTAATTTGCATCTAGATTCTTTTATCTTGCAGGGTCCACTCGTGTTCATGGAGCAAGCTTTGATTAACCTGGCCATGAATATGCTTCACTCAAAGGGCTATGTTCCATTGTACACACCTTTCTTTATGCGCAAGGAGGTGATGCAGGAAGTGGCACAGCTGTCACAGTTTGATGAAGAGCTGTACAAGGTAGGGGTTTCATTCCTTCAAGTCATGAGCGGTTTGTTTGTTTGTTCATCTTTTATGCAGGAATTTTCTTTCATTTTGTTTTTGTTTTTAGATGAGTTTGACATTTACTGTTCACTTGTTTTCTTTCACAATGGTTGGTTATATTGAAGTTATACATAGAAGTATGGGCAACTGTTCCCACATTGGCCTTGTGTGGGTTCCAAAACACCACTGTGGGGTAAGATAAGAGGAGATCTAATTGTTGTCTAATTAACTAGATTGTTATCAAGTCGTCATGGAAGGAAGACGAATCAGACCTGAATGACAAATAGTACTTAATTGCCACGTTAGCTCACAAAATAATCTAGTTTTTGTCCAATTAACCAGGTTGTTGGCAAGTCGTCGGAGAAGAAAGATGAATCAGACCTGGATGAAAAGTACTTAATTGCTACATCAGAACAACCAATTGCGGCTTTCCATCGTGACGAGTGGATCCCCACCGAGTCACTGCCCATCCGATACTTGGGGTACTCAACTTGCTTTAGACAGGAGGCAGGCTCCCATGGTCGTGATACGAGAGGCATTTTCAGAGTCCATCAGTTTGAAAAGGTAAGATCCTCTGATATGAGCATGTAGCGGAGGGGTTATTAATGCAGTTTCATAATTCCGACATATCAGGGCATTCTGCAGCATTCTTGCCTTGATTTGGTCAATTGTATGAATGTCAAACCTATTCAGAAAGCAAAGGGCAACATCTTTTTCTTATTCTTCAGCCTCAGCGTTCCGAACCCTTGAGTTTCATTGCTGTAGACATCACCCGCCTCCATTCATCTCTGTTATTGGCCTTTTCTTTCCAGATGGTGACTGCAAATGTTTCTAGGTCTGCATGTATATGACCTGTCCACTATAATGGGAGACTAAAGATCAGACATTTGCCTACTAAAACCATCAACAGTAAACAAATGCCGGGGCTGGGTGTCAATGTCCGGGACCCCATTGTGGGGGGGGGAAACAAGAATAAACCCACTGCCTTTGCAACAGACATGTCGTAAGAGTCGGCTAATTGGAGGCTTCCTTCCAAGTCTGAGTGCATCAGCTCACAGGGCATGCAAATAACAGTCCGCATACAAATATTTATTATCTGTAAAACGGATGTTCATGAAACACGCAGGTTCTTGAACGAGACCAAAGTGCAAAAACTGGATGAACAACCAGAGCTTTCAGCCCCTGAACGAAAAGAAGAAGTCTTGTTCCAGAACCTGAGTGTTGCATGTGCATCCGTTTTACAGATCTGACATAAGTTTTGTGCAAATTGTTGGTTCCTTGCCTCTCAGGCAGATGCATTCTAAGCATTCTAACTTTAAAGAAATCCCCCAGTTAGTCAACTCTTACAACATGCTCAATGGGGAGGCAGGGGGGCAGATGCAATTAATGTTAAGATCTTCTTCAGCATGCGCTTACAAAGGCAGGTGGAAGTGTATTGTGGTTTACAGCTAGATTGATATCTTCGCCTTTCTGCCCAACACATCATAGTTCAGGGGGGCTGATTGGTCTCGGGGTATGGTGTCCGCCTCAAGTGCTGGAGGTCCTGGGTTCAAGCCTCGGTGATGGCTGAGAGTTTTTCATGTGGACTTCTAGTAATTTTCCCTGGTCTCTGAGTAGTAAAATCGGACTGTGTGTATTGGTGTGCACGTAAAAAAATTTCTTGGCATGTGAGTAGCCAAATGGCGCTGTCCAGGCAAAATTTGGAGTTAAAAATCCACCCAAAGTATTTGAGGATCCTCGCTGGTGCTATGGATTTGTGCACTGCACTTAGATTCTTCAGACAGGCTTGATTCAGAAGTAGAATGGTTACTACCCTTGTGCCATGATGTTGATCCATCGTCAAAACCTAAACATCAGAGTTGAACAGATCCTCATGTAGTTTACGTTTTCCATGTTAAGGAACTCCTCTGAATGTAACTTAACATGTCTAAACATTTCAGCCCTGTTTGTCCCCGTACTAGATTAAAGATAAATGTCATCTCACCGCCTGTGTTGTTTGTTTGTTTGTGTTCACTGTCTGTAAACTTCCAAGGAAAGTCCTCGTTGTTTGTCCTAATCTGGACTTTGGCACAGACTTGGGGTTAGCATTTGCATCCATTTTACAAATCTGTGCAGTCTCTTTTTGTGTGTGTGTGTGCCTAGCAGGAGAGTGCACTCTGACTTTGAAGAAGCGTTGAGCCTATCTCTTGGATGACTGTAGGCAGTCAAAAGGCATTAACCTTTGTCATTTAATTTGAGGCTGATGCCATCAGCTTTGCTCACAATTCAAGTGTCACTCATGCATTGGGGTGGGCTAATGAGTATGAGTCTTTCTGGACACTGCGTCACAAGGGGGGCCCACAATCTACGAGATCCCCTGCCATCTGTGCTTAATAATTCCTACGAAATGTGACTTAAAAGCCTAACTAAATGGGGAAGCAGAAAAATGTGCACAAAACAACACAAATCTTTTGTGCACATTTTTTCTGCTTCCCAATTTTGTAGAATATTTAGTCACATTTCACTAGAATTCCTTGGTATTAGCTTGACTGCAGTCACCCCCTTATTTTCACCACCTGTGCTGAGGCCATTATCCAGGGCAAATGACGTGGGTAAGAGGTAGGGGTCTTGCATGAGGATAGACAGACATATGAGCAAGGAGATAAAGAGACAGACACACATGCACATGTGGATTTTGTAAATAATTTGTGGCTGTTGCATTTCTCAGTTATTATTGCGCATTTTAGCCCAAGCAGCTTTGTGGCTGATATTACCGTGTTTTTTTAAAAGTGCATTTAATTCAGTGGTTCTCAACCTGCCGGCCGGGGCCCTTTTTGGGGTCAAACGACCCTTTCTCGGGGGTCGCCTAAGACCATCAGAAGTTATGAAGGAAAATAATTGTTTGGGGGGTCGCCACAACATGAGGTAAATGTATTAAAGGGTTGCGGCACTAGGAAGGATGAGAGCAACTGACTTAATTCTGTCTGTATCAAGGAATACATCACATATTGATTTATAATAAATTTTCTGTCCTCTGACATCGAAAGAGTTAATGAACCAGTGACGCTTCATTCTTTTTCTAACCTGCACTATTTAAATGCCTCGTCTGTATGATGATTGCTCATGTTGTCAGGTAAGCGTATTTTGATTTGCCCAGGTGGAGCAGTTCTGCATCACATCACCAGAAGAAAACAAATCATGGGAGATGTTTAATGAAATGATCACCAATGCTGAAGAGTTCAACAAAGCACTGGGGATACCCTACAGAGTCGTCAACATTGTATCAGGTGAAGATACTCTCTCACTGTGTTTGTGTGTGTGTGTGTCTGGATGGATGGATTGATAAAAGGAACGATAGAATCGATCAACTGAACTGAATAATATGCTTAACAAGGGAGGGGGGTAAAAAGTTTGGGGGGGGGGGGAATTCAGCAAGAAGTCAAATTGTTTCTGTGTATGTTGGCTTTTAAATCAGTCACAGGATCAGTAAATTAATTTCTTGATATCAGAGCTTGCTGGTCAGAGGGAAAAGATCTACAAGATGGCCAAGGTTACATTATAAGGATGTAGGCAAACAGGACCTGAAAGATACCAACACTGGGAGAGATCAGCTGCTGACCTATTCATATGGAGGCAGACAGTGAAGGACAGACTATTGCACTCTGCTAGAAGCCCAGTGCAGCAAGGTGTAGAGAGGAGATGTCTGAGAGAAAAACCAGCCTCAGTATAAATAGAATATCAACATTTTTATGTAGCAAAAACAAAAATTCTAGACCTTACCAACAGTTCAGTTGATGTCACGCTGAACAACAGCCTTGAAAAAGTCAACAGTTTCACTTATCTAGGGAGCAAGATGTCATCTACAGGAGAAACCGCACCAGAAATACCATTTAGAATAGCACTGGCATCTAGTGCCTTCAATAAACTGTCCAACATCTGGTAATCAAAGACACTTAGCAAACACACAAAACTCAAGATCTTCAATTCTTGTGTGATTCCAGTACTAACCTATGGATGCGAAAGCTGGAAATCAACGAAAACTCTAGACACAAAATTAGACAGTTTTGAAAATTAATGCCTTAGAAGAATACTAAATTTCAAATGGTCAGATTTCCGAACCAATACACAAATAAGGCAAGAATCCAAGAGTATGTGTCTAACTTTATACGAAAACGCCGCTGGAACTATGTCGGCCACGCCCTTAGAATGGATAAATCAAGACTTCCTTACCAAGCCCTCATTTGGACACCACAGGGAAAAAGATTTTGTGGAAGACCAAAGGAAACCCTACGTAGAACTATCATCAGGGAAGGCTCACTCATGGGCCACTCAAACATCCAAGACCTACAACAGATTGCAATGAACCGCCATGCATGGAGAGTCATGACCTCTGCCCTATGTGCCGCACTTGACACAAGAAGAAAGACTAACTAACTAACTAACTATGTAGCCTACGTGGCAGAGACTGTTACTCCCGCATTGGACTTTATAGTCATAGCAGACACTGTTTCCAGAACCAGTGGCACAACTCCATGGTCCCCGAGGACTGACGTTTGCCTGCACTTACAGATAGAAATCCTAGATTGTATCATTCATTCATTGCATGTCTGAGTCCACCTAAATCTCATTTATCATCATTATCATGTGCCCTGCCAACTGGCATAGGTGCTCATGCGTCTCCACAGATCATGATCACTGGTTGCCCGGAACAGCTCTTTTCATGATATCCCTCCATGCCATCATTTCAGCCCATCCAGCATCATCTCTCTTGGTCTGCCTCTACCCCTTTTTCTTCTGATCTTTCCAGTTGTCACGATGTTCTCCAATGTCTCTCTTCTCATTATGTGGCCAAAGAACAGTGTTTGTCTCTTTTTTATTGTTGTATTTAGAGATTTACTTTAATCAACTTCTTTCAAGCATTCGTTGTTAGTTACTCTGGCCATCCAAGGTATTTTTAATATTGGACTCAGAAACCACATCTCTGTTGCTTCCAAATTCTTCCTGTCATTTATGGATGGTTCTTATTTTCAGGCGAGTTGAACAATGCAGCTTCTAAGAAACTGGATCTGGAGGCTTGGTTTCCTGGTTCGGGGGCTTTCCGGGAACTGGTGTCATGCTCAAACTGCTTGGACTACCAGTCCAGGCGACTGCGTATTAGATATGGTCAGACTAAGAAGATGGGACAAGAGGTATGCTTTTTGCAGTGTATAATTTTATGTAAAAGTATGCTATGTTATGTCTTGTTCTTTTTCCTCTTGTCTAGTCTTGTTCTGCCTTTCGGCGTCAAGTTTTGAAGAAACATTGGATGCAAGCCTTGGTGAGTGCTATGTAGATGCTGATATTTACGGCCTCGGATATTCCATCTTTCTGTCGCTTGCATGGTCACTTTTTAGTTCTGCAGAATTGGTGGCAGGCAGCTGCCCAGTGATTTAATTTGCTTTATTACATCTGTGTTCTGTCTCTGGTCATATCTTCTGTGTTTTTTCAACATTAATTTTCATGTTTGTGCTTTTGCTGCTGAGTTGAGATTATCCATTGGATGTAGCGAATATCTGTTGTAAAGACCAATTTATTTATCCCCAGGCAATTTTTCTTGCTTGAATTCTTATCTGGATAAGAGGAATTTCTTATAAGAAGAACTGTTTCTTGCATCTCCAGTGAGTTCTCCTTATCAGGTCTGCACTGTGTATGTGTTAATTCACATATCTGTATATTTTGGTCTGTGATCATTCACTGTAATCTATCATGACAAACCAGATGAATGAGCTAATGTATTTGTGTTCACTCAAATAATGTGTTGTTTTACTGAGTGATCCTTCAGAGTTTGATCTCTTCTCACAGACCAACTTTGTGCATATGCTGAATGCTACCATGTGTGCCACAACCAGAACTCTATGTGCCATCCTAGAGAACTACCAGACAGAAGATGGAATCATCGTCCCTGAGGTCTTACGCAAGTTTATGCCCACAGGTAAGTTCTTAGTGTCTTAACTACTACCGTTTTAGGCACAGGTAGTTTGATTAAGGAGATGGAGTGGCTTTAATATACAAACAATGTCCACCTCTGACTTCATTACGTAGGTACTGTTAATGAACTGTGTACCATCCTAGAGAACTGCCAGAGAAAACTAACCGTACCCACATGTCATATTTGTAGCTGACTCACAGGGCATGTTGGTAAAGGCGGAGACAGGTGTCTTCCGTAACAGAGTGGCAAGCATAGCTTCAGATATCCTGAGTAGTTAGCGCCCTTTAGATTTTTTAGCCAGGTTATGCTGGTGCTTTGGGAAATGAACAGTAGGATATATTGGCTGGTTTTGCACCACTTGGTAATGAATTGATGCAAGACAAGCTAAATATTGTCAGGGTTTTTATGGGAGCGAGTTAACAGGGAGGAGGTACAAATTGATCATCATGGTCTGAGAATTGTGCTGTGTGGAGTGACCAAGGGCATCTAGCTGACACTCAAGGGAAAGGCAAGACAGATATACTTTCACGACAGTTACTGGTGCAATGGGAATTTCAACTGCTACTGAAGATGGGGGATGGAAGACTTACTGACTTGTCCTGACAGCTGTGATGTTGGCTCCTAATTCAACATTCAGACCGAGTCATTGTATCCAAAGAAATTTAAACATATACACAAGGTCTTACGCCAGCTTATGCCCCCTGGTAAATTCTTAACTTTTACATTTTTAGGCACAGCTAGTTTGAGTTATTAGATCATCATCATTGTCATCAAGTGCCTTGCCATCTGGCATAGGCATTCATGCGTCACCACTGATCTCGGTCTTTGGTGTTCTGGATCAATTCCACTGATGATTTTTTTCCATTCCACTGTCTTAAGCCCTTCACCATCATTTCTCCTAGTCTGTCTTAGCCTCTTCTACCAGTGATCTTTCCAGTCGTTATGATATTTTCCAGTGCGTCTTTTCTCATGACATGACCAAAGAACTTTGTTACGAGATAGAGTTGCTTGAGGGTACAGTGCCCACCTCTAACCTGAATCTGTAGGTACTGTTACTGAACTCAGTGAACCATCCTAGAAAACTACCAGACAGAAGATTGAGTCATTGTTCCTGAGGACTTATGCAACAAGTGTATGCCCCAAGGAAAAGGTGCAAGTCCAACAGTTTTTCCTCTGTGTGGTCACTCTTAAAAAGCATGTTGGTTTACAGCTATGCTGCAACATCGCCTTTCTGTCCAACACCACCAGTGTAAGCGAACCCCTAATATTAGGTACCTTTATGATGTGCTTGTTAGGGGTGTTGGCTCTTCCCCCCCCCCCCCCCCCCCCAAATGGTGCCCTGGAACCCACATGGTGACGTCTTTCATTTCTAGACACATAGTTTGATTGGGGGAATACTGTTTCCTTATACATCTTAATGTATTATACTGTTTCCTCTTCAACACAGTGTGTGTATCTGGCATATGGAACTAACCAGTATGTTTATAGAGCAGTCATCACTTCATGGGTGATTGTGTTGAACATCACACTAGCCACTTTTACTTCCCAAGATATTCCTGCTGACCATTTTAGGCTGAGTCAGCATGTGAGCCAATGTTAATTATAAAGATGTGCTTTGATATGGATTCGAACTCAAGATGTTCAGGCCAGCAGGCAAGCATCTCTAGCCACCATGCTGTTGCACTTGCAGTTTTTATAGACTAAAGAAATCTAGCATGGTAACACAAGGTGTTTGTAGTTGACTCTTATGAAAATATAACTCCTTGAATTTTGCTGGGGTTATAATTGTTCTCTATGACTATTTTCTGGGGCTGAAAGAGTTAGTTCAACTCTTTATCATCATCATCTTCTTCTTCTGCTTATTCTTCTGTTTCTTCAGACCTTCTGTCAGAAAATGTACATCAGGAGGCCAGTAACCTTATTGAACTGTATACCTCCCTGTGTATCATGCAGATTTGTCTTGACTGAGATTGAAAGAAGCAAGATTGTTTCTCTGTTAGAGGCATAGTTTTTAATGTTAGAGTATATGATCAGCATTTGTCCCCCCTTGTGGGTTCCGGGGCCCCATTGTGGGGAAAACAAGAATAGACCCACTGCCTCCCCAAAAGCATGTCGTAAAAGTCGACTAATTGGGGAGCTTCCTTTGAAGTCGGAGTGCATCTGCTGGAGAGGCAAGGAACCAACAGTCTGTATTCAAGAGAATGAGATCTGTAAAACTGATGCACACGCAACACTCAGGTTCTGGAGCAGGACTGCAGTTCAGACGAGCAACCAGAACTTTCCGCCAGTGTGTACAGCTGGTGAACGCGAAGAAGAAGAAGATGATCAGCATTTTCTGTTGCCAAGTTGCGGTTCGCGTCTCCTATTTCCTACACCGGAAAACTTGAACATTAAGCTGCCCCTATGGGGCCCTGTTTTGGGAGAAAAGAATAGACTTACTGCTACACACACACACGCACGCACGCACACACCCCCCTCCCCCAAATCTGTCTCCACAAAAACATGTTATAAAAACGTCTAATTCTGAGTGTTCTTCAAAGTCAGAGTGCTTCTGCCAGAGAGGCTGGGAACAACAACAGTCTGTGCACAAATAAACCAGATCTGTAAAATGGATGTGTACCCAAAACTCAAGGTTTTGGGACAAGATTGAAGTTTAAAAGTGAACGAACAACCAGAACTTTCCACCGGCGTTTACAGCCGCTGAACACTAGGAAAAAGAAGATTAACTGCCTAATGAGGCGATGAATAGAGTCTTGGGGGGAGAAATTTGGTGTCAGCATCAAGCCACCTTTCTAATTTTACTTTGTTTGAAATGTCAGTTCAACTGAAGCTTGTGCTCCTAGATGAACATGTATCTCCATTTTAAATGACTCTCTTCCAGGCTATGATGAAAAAATTCCATTTGTGAAGCCTGCTCCGATTGATGAACAGGAAGCAAAGAAACAGAAAAAGTCTGAAAAGAAAGGAAACAAACCACCTTCTGCATCGAAAGAACAGTAGATATTATCTTTTAATGAATTATTTCATAAACGCATAGCAACTCCGATAATAAATATCATCTGACGCTTTCTTGTAGTTCATGCAAAATGTAGCTTGCATTCATGAGTCGGCTGAATATAACTTGTTATTTGTCAATGATTATGACATGTGCAAGAGTAGAAATTATTTATGTTTGGGTGTGCATTGTTGTGGTTGTTAATAGTTCTATGTGTGTGTTGTAGTTTTGAATGGAGGAAGAGAGGGGCGGGAGTGTTAAGACAGCTGCTGTGAAGAATTAGACCTGCTTTGTCAATGTCCAAACCCCCACATGTTATTGTTTTAATTGTCTGTTATTTTATCGGAACAAATTGTCACAAATAAATTTGTCACATCCGGCAAAGGTTGTCATTTCTTTGTTATGTTTATAAGGACTTTTTTCAGTTTTGGAATATCATTTCCATAGTTCTAGATCTATATCTTTATGGATCAGTTGGCACTTGATGGGATTATAGTCAGCATCCCATTGGACACCATTTTTTAGTTAGTTAGTCAACAGATTATCCTCATTGCACTCGAACCACTCAGTCCATAAGTGCTTGGATCCCCTCCTCACTAAATCCTGCAGTGTGTAGCGGCCAACAACACCAGTTCTGTGTTGATTTCTTCTTCCTCTTTGGCTACCCGCATAGTCTTTTTGTTTGGCGACACCCTGTTTAACATGTTTTGTTCTTGCAGTCTGACCATGGTTGCAGATTCACAGTTCCTAGTTGGTTCACGCAAACGTCTTAAAGCTCGTAGAGCGTTTAGTATTATCAGCCGGGTCCGTGGCTTGCCCGGCTTTTTGCCTTACCTGCAAGTCTATCAGCTTGCTCATTTCCTTGTACCCCCGCCATTACTTCCCTGGACGTTACCTGGTACTCATTTTAAGATGGGTCAGACGGGGAGCCAAAAATGATTTGGTTTAGGACATGCTGTTTATAGATACTTCATTTACTTAGTGCTGTTTGAATAAAGAGAACCGATGTGGTGTAGCAACTGGACCCTCTTATGCAATTCCAAAGGTTGTGGGTTCATAGTTGTGGGTTAGTTTATACGTTGAGTAGGGATTTTCCTCTCAACACATCCCCTCCACCAGATTAACTGACTAATATCCGGGCTATGATGCTCTCAGACAAAGTCCTGGATATCCAAGAAAACAGCCACATTGGCTCGTTAATTACTTTAACATTAGCTGCTCTTGGTACCCACAAGAGAAGGAAAGGAGTTTTAGATTTCTATATCATTATACTGAATGAATTATTAGACAGGGCAAATGACTCCTCCGTCCCACCTTCTCCCGGTAAAGAATTATTATTATTATTTGAGCTCCCACCAAATGTAATTCTATCTATCAGTTTAGTTAAACGGGTAAGACTGAATACACTTGGAATTTAACAAGCGATGTAGTATAAAACTTGACATACAGCTTTATTTTCTAACAATCAGTTCAATGACATTCCCAGTTTGTTGTGTTTACACATACAGTGACTGGCTAATGGAATGATAGTGATGAGATGCTTCAGCGAGGAAACAGCACCTGGGATTAGAGTGGTGTGATGAGGATGATAAAGTACGAACAATGTATGAACAAAACTTGTTTATCATAGAACCTCTGACAGCCGTGAGCACTGTCAAGCTCTTCCTCCTCTTCCAGCTTCTTCCCTGGCGGTTGTCCACCTGTTTCTCCTCCTCGCTCCCACCTCGTTCCCAGCTGGCCGAGTCTAACACAATGTAGTCTCGTTCATGGACTGATCGTCACATGGGCGATGTAATCTTGGAAACAAACACATACGTGTAGTATCTTGACGTACACTAAGAATACATGTATCAATTAATATAACATATAATAATAAAATATATCCCATCACTCCTCATATTCCACATTCTCTCCAGTCTAATCTGAAGGTCTTTTGTCTTACATGGACGTCACATATCCTGGCTTCCCTCTCATGTTCCATCATGATAGTTGACTTTCTAAGTCTGCTGTTCGTCATCACTCAGACTTCCAACTGGCGGACATTGATTTGACGTAAACATGTGGCGCTGGTTATGTGCTGAACACGCACGTTTTAAAACGCGCACGCTGTCCTGAATATTCTCTTTCAGTGACAGTGAATTCTATACACCCATCATTCTTCCCCTGGGGTTATCAATCCACTGTTTAGGTGAACACATTAAGTTAGCACATGTTGGGCACACAAAACGTAACAGCATCCCTGCACATATGTGGGCATCATTTCCCCCAGTCCAAACTCATGTTTTGGTTGATGGTTGAAACATTATAGTTTCATTATAATTTAGTATACAAGTCTAATTGTATAAATATGAAAACATACACTGAAAACCATGTGACACACACATTCAAGAAATAGGAATGGTTTAGCAGTTCCCTAACGGAGATACTGAATACTCACAAAGAACTATTTCAAGCAGAATGTGCAGACAAATTAGGAAAGGTAGAATAGGCTTTAGCTAGCTCCCTAACCTATGTATAAAGGTTAAAAATAATTGTACAAGCTTACCTGGGAACATTCCATCAATCGCCAAACCAGAATCAGACCGTAAAATTACCTTTACGTCGATCTTTGTTTGTTGCCAGCCGGCTGCGATGTGAATGAAAGTCCAGAGGCTTGTATAACCTATCTATCTAATGTCCAAATTAAACTCCTCCCCCTTCTAGGTTCTACCCAACCTTCCAGGAGATGACCTAAGCCACGCCTCTGAGGTACCTTGCAGTTCAAATTAGCTAACAAGTGGCCTGTCACTCAAGGTGAACGGCCTTGACCAACGTTTGGGCATCTTAATTGGCAAACAACTGTACTCCTGAGAATTTCACTGTCAGGTGTAAAAGACTTTTCAGAGGGCACCGTCGGGTATACCAGTCCACTTAATTCCCCTGATATGCTCTGACCAAAAGACCCCACTCAGTCTGTGTTATGTAACATTTATTACACTAAGGTTCAGCTCAGGGAAGATAATCTCAGGTGTGATACTAAGTTATTTCCCCAGTTACTCGCCTCTACAGTCTGTGGGCAGGAGATAATAATATGACACTGGCTTTATAATCAACCATTACATCCACTAGTCTGAACTTTCTCAGGTAGACCAGCGGGCTGTATTACGTAGTGTTATGTAATATTAAACCAAGCGCAGTTGCTTTGTCTCGGCGAAGTACTGGTAACAATTAAATCCATGCGGTTTTAAAGTAATATTTGGTTTAAGGTCATAGTAAATATAATTCTGTCTCTTTAGAACCAGAAGAAATTATTACAAGTACTTAATTTCTGGAACCACTGAGGTCATCTCGTGACATGGAGCCAGAATGATTTTTAAACATGACCTTGACTCCCAGGTTGACCAAGCCTTAAATGAGGACCATGTAAAATCCTGGGAAGTAAATGCGGCCAACAGAATGTTGACCACATTACCTACAGAGTGCCAGTGAGACCTTTACAAATAAGTCTAGCCTAATTTTTTCCCAAAGTGCCTCTGGTATGTAAAGAGACTGTTATTTTTTAATCTGTAAAACCCGGCCGAAAGACCTGGTTGTTAATTCATTTCTGGCTTTGGCTTTGTTCCAGGACCTGAGTTTTGCATGAGCATCTATTTTACATATCTTGCCTATTTGTATGCAGACTGTTGGTTCCTTGCCTCTCAGGCAGATGCACTCTGATACACTTTACTTAGTCGATCTTTTTTTCCTACTTTTTAGAGTAGAAGTTAGCTATAGAAATCACCAGACTTTCTACGTGTAGTTTTCTTTTTGGCTTTGTTACATTCCAGTCCTCTGCCACGCAGGGACTGTTAGAGGTTGTCTTCCCAGTGAACCCTGGGTCTTCCAGGAGCTTTGGTTCTTGACCTTCCTTATGATGACTGTAACTTTAACAAATGTCAGAACTGAATCTTTACTACAATGTCTATGTTGTTCGTAACTTTAGCAGATGTGTAGAATGTTTACTCAAACCAATTCTGTAATTTTAGTTACGTTTTTTTTTTCAGGAACTGTTGCATTAAATACGACAGCAAATGTTACTTGGCTAAAATCTTATTAATGAGACTATAAATACTATACAATTAATTTTTTGTTTGTTTGTTTAAATAAATGTGGGTTTTAAACTTTGTCATATGTACACATATTTTAGTTTTTTTTTTAAAGTAAATTTTCCCCCTTGTTTTATATGTGTAAATGTTCCTCTGTCTCTTTGTTTATGTAAATTCATTTCTGTTTTTGATTTGACTTGTTGGTTTCAGACAGGTGGGTTGTGGGGTTTTCTGCTTAAGTTGATCTGTAATGTTACTCCCAAATATTTATATATATATATTTCATGCACAAGTACTTGGTGTACTACAACTACAAGTAGTCTGACAATAGAGGTGATGGCGGTAACAAAAGCAATGATGTGGTTAGTCACACAGTTTTTCCCAATCATGCTTTTTAAATTATTCCTTGAGCATGCTTAAGAAGATAGAGACTGGAAAGATTCGAAGCAAATGGTTGGTCACTGAGGGAATCTCATCTGATAGGAATTAGTTCCATTTTTGTGCAAGGACACTCAGGGGTAAGAGGGAATAAAAGGGTGGATTGGCTTGCTGGCAGGACCACGGTAGGTACAGAGAGCGCAATGGACCGGGCCGACAATTTTAATGCTCTCAAGAAGGTAAGACGAGGAAATTCAGAAGACGATGTTGAAACGGCAACACACAAAAGACTACAATAACTTCAGGTCAAAAGAGTTGTCGCTAAACTTGAATACTAAATAGGTAGCCAAAGAAGAATAGTAAACCGACACAGAATTGGTATTAACAGTGGCCACACGCTGAGGGATATACTGAAGATGGGATCTCAGTGCTTATGGACTTGCCCGATGAGGATAATCTGTCAATTAACTAACTGTTGTTGGCACCTTTCTATGTTTCCAGACGGTAGTGTTCCATTATGCTACAACAGCAGTGTCACAGTCCATTGTGATAGCAATTAAAGC